GCATCACCTTAGCTTCCGATTTTTCATCGGAATAGACGCACAAATAAAGGATAATTTTAGGCGATTTAAACCTACAGAAGATACGCTGGTTTTACCAGTCATCCTTGTCTATACACAGCCTTCATTTACTCAGACAGGGTTAGTTGAACACAGTGGGTTACTATACCAACTAGATTGACTAACACATTAGACGTGATGTTTACATTGTGTATGGCCATGGTACAGAGAGACCTTTCAGAAAACACCTCTGGTAGCGAAGGCAACTTGATACTCTTAACATTTGCCGTTAAAATGTCCATCAAATACGTACCTCCTTCATACTTCACCAGCCGCAGCATTAACTGGAAACCCTTCCGTCAAATAATCCGATCCTGCGAATGAAATGCCTTCTTTCTCTCCAACAATGTATGCACAGCCGTAGAGCACGTCTATCATGAGGATCAGCAAGCCACAACCCTCGTTGCTGCACAATAAACAACGAATCAGTGACATTTAAAATGAAGCAGCCAAACGTTCGATCAGTCCGAAATCCGGGAAACCGATCGCGCGCTAATAAAGTATAGGATATTTTACCGTGATTCCACAGATGCACCGACTCATCTCTGAAATCAAGCACTTACAGTTGATGGAGTGAACACATGAAAATCAAGCAACCCTACGAATGACATGTGAAGCAAAAGACTTAATCTAACTTCTCCGTCAATAAACCAACAAACACTTTTCGTTGATAATTGAAATGGTAGATGACATCCGGGCGCATTCAGCTCTTTCTTCTCCACCTAGATGAATCTTGCTACTAACGCTATACTTACACTAAGACTCCACCTGAAGTGCTATTTCTCACCGCGATATCCGCATAGCAACAAATTCTATTCAACTCTGCTTAATTATGAAAGCTGGTGGAAACCCCATCTGCCATGTAACTGGGAGGACATGATATGTCACTGCTTCCTTTGTATCTGTTTGCCATTTCACTGGGATCCAAGTAATTTGCATATCAATTTAACACTTCATTCATCAGCCCCCGCCACAAGTGCTATGCAAAACAGGAGATGGACAATAATAGGCCAAGCCGAAACACTCTTTTTAATAGCCGGATTGTACGGGAAGTTAGTGAAATGTGTGAGGAAATTCATCCACTCACTGAAGCTCATATATAGGTCCTAAAATGGTTACCTTGACTAACGATCGTACACATTCTAGTAACTGCATTACCTGTACTACATACCACATACTCCGTTGGCTCAAAGTATGTCATATTAATTCTATGCTTGCACATGCAGAAAATATTTGATCGGATCCCACGCAAACGGTTACTGCATCAGCTAAATTTCTTTTAAGTCCACAACACATCCATTGGTTGGCTGTCATCATACATGAATTGTCCCGTTAAAATAGTCACCTTGGACGTTTATTGCTCTCCGCGTCCAATTACCAGCGGGATTAAGCAAGGATGTTCGCACGGTATATTAATTTCCCTTCTTTGTGTCAATTATAGTAGTTCGGTTAACAAACATGGCGTGCTGTATTTATTTGTTAATCATATAACATGTGTCCACAAGTACCGAGGAGTTGAGCTTCCGAATGTACTACCACTCATTCAAGAATTCGCTTGAGACTTGGTGCGACAGGTGGATGATGACGTTTTAAGCACAACAGTCAAGTATCATATGTTGCGGTCGCTTGACACCCAAAGTATCCATCACATGTAACAGCGAACGCATCTGTGTACAGCGGTCTACCTGTGACCTCGAAATCACATATTCTTATACCTTCAACTTCTCTGAACAGATTGAGTACCAGATAGCACGAGTCAGACAATCCTTCGCTAACATCTCTCATAATATGCGTACAATCACAGCAACGGTTGAACTAAATAAAACCCTTCATCGTCCCATTCTGGAGTATCGCAGCATAATCTGAGGCAATATGAGGAAATCAGACAGAACATCGATAGAAAGCCTTCAACGGTCGTTTACTAAGCACGTATTGGGAAAAAGTTCTATCCTAAACTCTCAGGAGCCATACTATCCGCCTTGGCTGCGAAGACTAAAACATAACTGGGGACTGCTACAGAATCTGCTTCATGGTAAAACCCATTGCGATCGATTTATCCTTAACATTGCAGCTCAATTACACACGAGACCTAGGTAACAAAGACCTTACCCAGATTATACCACGAGACAAGACAAATTTGCAGTCTAACTTTCATCTCACCATATATGCTTCTCTGTGGAATCCGTTTCCATTCACCATCAGGTTATGTCAGACTGTGTAATGCTTTCGCAGTAAGTTGGGAAGCTATCTCTACCTGGACACCATTATGTCGCTTTTTTCGTGGGGAAGGTCATTTGAACATCCATTCAATGAAAGCTCAGATAATGTTTAATGGGTGTGATATCACCAATTCACGCAATGTAATTGGTCCTCAGTGTATACAACATACTCAAACTGCAAATTTTCCTCCTGCCATCGTATAAGACAAACATATGGGGCAAATACCTTGACAGAAATCCAGACAAATATAAGAAGATAACGTGATATTGCTCTTGCAAGAGCATAACATCCCATGTGCGTGTATGTTCGGTGCAAAATATTGCCACAGCTTTTCACTTGAGGAGCAACATGCCCATTGTTATTGTTATTATTATTACTATTTTCTGCTTCTTCTTCTTCTTATTATTATCTTCATGTGGTATATTGTTTCAACCAGAGGCCATACTAACCTAGAGACTAAATGTATCACTGGTACTATGCACCTTGGACCGAGCACAAATTGTGCGCTCAATACGTTTTGGTTGCTAGGAGAGCGTTGCAAATTTGACACAGGGACACCGGCTATCAGCCGGTTGAGAATACGAAGCAATGGCACCTGTTTTCGACAAAAGATCTGTTAAAGTGGTGCTGACAGAGAACGTGCAAACATCTCATCCTAGGGTGACCAGCTACAGTCAGGAGTATTGTTGGTGACGCCTAACACTGACGCTCTCATCCCTGTCTGTCTTCCGTTAACAGCAATGTGTCAACCTACTCGCGAGCATATCAGCCCCCTTACACTTATACCTCTATCCCTGTGCTTACATCCAGGCAGTCCCATTGTTTATGTCCCATGACCAATGAGAGTGTCACTGATAGTGCGTGCATGTAACCCCTCAGGGAGAGAATGAATTGATGCCCGCGTGCACTTGAATGCACAACAAGTTATTTTGATTTTTGTACCAAGCTAACTTATTGGCACTACGCGTGAAGTTGCCTGTAAAATGTATAGATGTACGACTGGGCCACGTTACCGCTAGCCGTATACCAGTTCCCGCTAGCGTTTGTGGTTTTTGTAGAGTCTGTATATCACATGCAATGGTAGGACGTCCCTACATTTTATGCTAGGTTATCAGAATGCATAATGAAATATGAGTCCTTGTCCTTCATTACGGTACGTGAATTGTGGGTCCAGGCTCAGATTTTCGAGCTAAACTTAGACGAAGGGAACCAATGGTTACAGTAGCGAATTGCGTGGTATTATCCATGTCGATCCAAACACGCCAATCAATAACTACTATAGAGCTCCACTATCGCCTACTGGTGACGGAACCCAGGGATTGTTAGTCTAGAAGTGTGTAGCAGCAGTAGTAGATCCCTGCCTGTTTCCCAAATGTGTAGCTCTGTAACTGTAATCATGGTCATTAGGACGTCAATAATTACAGAGTGTAAAGGATACAGATCAGGTCGCTTTACCCAAAGACGAAGAAGCACGGTGTAAGGGCATCATTTTTCATATGGGACAACCTCCGTCTTCCCTCCACATAAATTCATAAACGTAATATTTGTTCGGTTTTGTTACCGACGTCTCCAGGCATATCGTCTGAACTGACAGTGCCACTAATAGAAAGTTAATTACTCTATCTGTAGCTGTTGCTAGGCCGCGTATATGTTGCATTTATCGGGCGGGCACGCCATGTTTCAGAAAGGTATGCATGCTTCCTACACTTACACCTTCCGACATACTTTCTTATATGATTTAGCATATCTTCGACGTTTTTCCTATATAGGGGGTCAATTCATTAAGCAGTTTTCTACTGTTTGTTCATGTAGTTATAATTCATTTATACTACCTCGTGAGAAAATATGTAACGGCAGAAAGTAGTCTGGTGGATACAGCACTCAGGTATCATGCTTTCTCTAGTTTGGCAACTTGCGCATATTGTAACTGCAGTAATTCCATTTGGGAACGCAAGACTAGGGTAAGCGGTTTAGAAATTTAGTAAAGTTTTATAAGCAGCACTCGGTTTATCTTAGCTGCTCAGCTCTTCCGCATCCTTAAGTATTCAATATTGCATAAGGTTACCTCTCTGCAGGCATCGAATTACCCAAGTATATTTAAAAGACCGTCCACTAGTTTCATCTATTTCTAATGAGTAATAGAGATTTGGTATGATTAGAGATAGTTAATCACGGTGGACTCTCAGTCAGCAGTCTTTGGTTAGTCTGGAAAAGCACCAGACACCGGTGTTTCGACCTTCTGGGTCACATCAGTGGCGCGCCCCTGCCGTGTTCCGCTCTCATGACTTCCGGACGCCAGCAGCGAGTGACACTTGGCCATAGGTGACAGCCGCGGAGCTGCTTCATTGACCGCTGACTATGATATAGCCAGGCTCATCTTCCATTGTCATGTCAGTTACGAACTGTGCAGAGGACAACTAACTAACTGACTAAGATAACTGATTTATAGGGTATTTTTTCATGCCAAGCAACCACCATTTTAGAATAAACAACCTATAGACAACCTTTCACTCGGCTGTCTGAAGTCCACGACTAACTGCGTTTGTAAACGATACGGTTTATAGTAGTAACCCGTAACCCTACTTTGTAAAGTAACTCACTTGATTAGCAACTGCACATGCGATTGCTATACATTTAAAAACACAAGCAGGAAAGTTGCGTAATCTCGAAAACCAAATAACAAGCTAATTGCGCACATTTAACACAAAGCATGTGACACCCGCCTGCATAAATCCGGATCCCAAGTGAGTGTGTGTATGTTAAACAACAAGGTGCGACTGGCATTTGTCACGTCGGTCACGTGACTGGTTCCATTTGTTAAGCGCCAGATGAGCCATGTATCCACTGTGCCGGCAAGCAGGGTGCCATTGTTGTGTGCCTCTGAAACAGCGGGCACGTTCTCCAATAGCCAGCAAAGCTTGAGGGCGGTGAAATAACTGTGAATGGGAAGGCCTGTTTTGTGCTTGTATGTGGGGAAATCAAAGAAGACAAATATTAGGAAAGGTTCAATCTAAACTGCCTTCTAGCTTATAAGTACGTGCGCACCTTTCACACAAGCATAATTTTCGCGACTATAACCATTCATCTCTTTGAGTTGGTAACATTACAGATCAATAGCTTCAAACATACAGCATATGATGCGGTGGCTTGTTCGAATTTAACCCAGGTATTCAGAACATTAGTCTACTATTTTCTCAGTTTTCTAACTGTAAAATTATTTTCCCGAACGTACCATACAGACGTTGTCGGATACCAACGGGTGATGTACCTAAGGGCTACCATAAAACAATAATGGATGGGACACATTGGTAGTAATTCCTCGAGTAATCTGCAAACCACTGGTAAGCTTTCATGGAGTGGAAGAATCGTAATCCTAAATGTGGCCACTTCAAACTGTGTCGTCAACACAATAGTTGCAAGTTCAAGTCGTCTAGCCCAGTATGTTTACTGCTAGTAATTAACATTTATTACTGAACTGCACTACTTGCATCTAACTAGCGAACTTATGCAACATGAAGTCCATCATGGCTTGGAGGCATAGGCTGCGGGCTAGATGGCGTAAGCTGTAAGCGACCATGGGTTTTATCCCCTGCAGGGGACTGAGGAAATGCGCTGACGAGCCCCAATAGGGCGAAACGATCGTCTGGCGCTATTCCTGATTAGGGTCTAGCTGATCTGGCTTGTAAGCAGCAGGAATTAACCGGTAAAGTATTATTATAATAACTATAAAGCATGATGCCGTATTTTGCATGCATAATTTCTGAGTTGCTTTGAGTAGTTAATGAAACAATATTTATTTAAAGTTATGCAAAATATGACAAGAGTTTAATGAGTGCGTACCGCCGAGTAAAGCATTAAATGGTTATTGTTGTCTTACGGTCTTACTTAAATATCCAAGACACGCGTAATCCACAGGGCCGAACAACGCGGCCTTCTCTGCTTGTAGCAATTTGAAAACATGACGGAGATATTCCATTGATAATTTGTGTCATTGGATATAAATCTATTCAGTAAAGACGAGTATTTAAGCCGCTAACAATGATTTATTACCTGATATAACTAACTTGTGTGCGTCGACGGCAGTCCAAAACTCAGGTGATGGACATACGGGTTTGGGGTTTGAATTCACTGTATTCGAAGCTAGCCGAGTCAAGAGATGGAAGGCCGCATTGCCTTACCATCCATGGTGCACAGTACTAGTTTAGTGCCCCTGTAGAATAAATCTGTGATGTCAAACATTGCAGCTGGTATCACTTAAGCAACTTTGTTTCCATTGTTCCATGCTAAGGTCCACGAATTCGTGCTAAAAAAAACATTTATTTCACCTTCATTTTGACCAACTAAGATGACCAGTTTGTCCACGGCCAGCGTTGAGCTTAAACACTAGTCTACTGTGCTTGCTCTAGTTTGTGAAAAATTGTTACTTACGTGGCCCAGTTGACCTCCATAAACCATGTGACAATCTATTCGGTTAATCCAGCTACTGTTGTATTGGGACAAAATACATCTTCAACCAGACAGCTTTGTGTATAAAAATTCAGATATCCAGTTGATGAACTGATTGGGCCACAGGCAGCTGTGAACCAAATGCCAGTTTGCAAGATGCCCTTCTTGAAAATGCCGACTTACCTGAAAGGCATTGACGGTTTTACCTGGGGTGAGTTCAACGTACTTCTTCGCCAGTTCGGTGGTCCTCGCATCAGACCAAACAATGGCAGGTGCCAGTGGTTTTCCACTTTTGCGGTCCCATACAATGGTGGTCTCGCGTTGATTAGTCACACCGATGCCCATCAATTGCTTTTGTTTTTGAGAATAAAAAGAAGTTATGTAAATTATTCACATTTAACTACGTGCTTCTATATAACATGATTCTGCTACTAAACTCAGCTTTGGAAAATTAACCGCTTATACTGATTTAAGAATTACTGTTCAAATTTTGTCCATGATTGCGTCGAATAAGTCTGACCGTTGACACTTTACATCTAACTGTCAACAGCAGTTGTTTGTAGTCATATTCGAAACCTCATCAGTAACGTTTCAGAGTCTTAGACAATACAGAGTATAAACTTTCGCGAGCATTCTAAGGGACTATCCAATGGAGTACTTTTCCCTCTATACGTAGAAGAACCTATGTCATTTCAACATTTATGCTGCGATATGATTAGTACAACTGTCCATACAGGTTTATGCTGACGTTGATAGACATTTGCAACAACTATGACAGCCCTTTCAATCAAAATTACGTGATTATATCAAACTAAATGCAATCATGTAGGTGAGTTGACTACATCCAATGCTTTGTCCTATGTGTCAAAATGCAGCTTTACAGGGGGTCCTGCTGAGAAGATGAATGAGGATTTGAACGTGCTGTTGCGTAAAGGTAGCGTGTATTGAATTTTTTCACCCGTTGGTCCTGGTTGTGGTAGTTTCATCTACACGCCTAACATAATCGTGGTTATTTAACATATTAACTGTTGCTCAATACACCCATGTGCCCCAGTTTTGTAAGCCGCTATTTATACAGTTACACTGCCGTACTGTATTTTTACTCTTACATGCCTAACTACATGACAATATTTGAGGTAAATGAAAACTTATGAACCTATCACAGAAATCTGGTGGTTAAGCAAGTGGAACAAAGTAATTTGTAACCTACCAACCTTCCTTGTGCGCATCAGGCAAGTACATACTTCAGCTTCTTTTACACTTATTTGAACAGATTTGAGGTAAACAGGGGCTGTGTCTTGGGGAAGTTGCACAATACTCTACATGACAATGCTCCTTCATATGCCACAGATACACATTGATTACAAGCAGTCAAGCGCGGCAGGGGGAATATTGAAAATGAGCCCGTGCCAGGTGGACCATCAACCGCTAACACCAGAGAAAATCTTGACCTAGCGATGGGTATGATCATGCACGATCTACGATTAACAACTCTTCAGAGAGCAGATAGGTTGTGCTTCTTCCAAGAGCGAGTAGACAATATTCCGACGGAGTTAGGCAATTCAAAAGTCTCCCCTCAATGAGTGAAATGTCTTTCGACTTCTGAGCAGAAGCGCACCCGACATAGGATAGCAAAGAACAATCGAAACTGTTAGTGTCAGATGCCGAAAATTTCCTTGCACGATTCATCACTACGGCTAATGCTAATTCCACCACTTTCAGCCAGAAAAGAAAGCAAACAGAGTGTTGGAAGTGTTCATCATATGCTACGCCAAAGATGGCCAAAGTTACGCGTCAGCTGGCAAGTTGATGGCATCTGTTTTTGGATTCCCCAGGTGGCTTGGTGATTGATTTCCGTGAAACAAGTTATACCACCGCCTCAAAGTATTACGGTGGCCTATGAAATGTCTCAGAAAAAGAGTCAACAATAGGGGGTAGGAATGCTGACAAAAGGAGTCATTTTCAAAAATAAAAATACTCCAGCCTACGCCTTATGTATAACTCATAAAACAACCCATGAATGCAGCTTTCAGCTTCTTTTACATTTATCTTATTCACCGGATCTGGTTCCCACTGACTTTCACATATTTCTAAGCCTAAATATATTCAGCTGGCCAACATTTTTTAATGATGGTGATATCACAGAAGCTTTGCAATAGTCCGTATCGTCACCATCTATGTTCTTTTCCACTGAGAGAACGGCGATTCAGCATTATTGGAGCAATTGGGTTAGACTTGTGGTTGATTATAGTAAATAGTAAACTACTGAAGAATCTGTGTCGCCTTTAATTTTTTGGTGCTTACCCCTTTTATTCACCCAACGCGTGCCTTTTAATCTCGCTTGAATGAAACGAACAAATATCCAGTTGTTAAATTATAATTTCTAGGTTCATGTCTCCCAGTGTTCCATAGTTGGATCCAGAACTAAAATCTCTTCTACACACAAAGTAAATATTAGCAATAAGAGTCTTATGAGATAAAAATTCTAATGAATATCCATTTAGACGGAGGGTCTGTATGGAGTTTAAGTTGCATTTTGTAATCAATTCTGATACTATCATACAACAAGACAATGGCAGAAAATGCAAATTATTTCTCGTCAGTGATGGTCAAACTAAAAACGGGAAAGATAACTGTAGTGCTTGGCTTGGTGAATAAATCAGCATCCTTGTGATAAATGTACCACTGCTATGAAGATATTCGCAACGGTTAATTACTACAGCTGATCGACAGTAATTCTGCGAACGTTTCTTTAGTTTTTGGCGAATTGATCTACTCTTTTTTGGGGTTACATGAAAGGAATACAGGCAGGCAAATCAGATGAATATGGTAGGTGATGCCATCATTAAGCTCTTCAGTTCACTTAAACGACGTGCATACCACATGTTTGGTTTTCCAACCGTTGCTCATGTGATACAATATCCAACAATCTCCCAATAATGCTGTTCTTTCTTTCTTTAAAGAAATTGTACTGTCGCCCCGTTGCTTCGCGAACCGTGTTACATAATGTATGAAAGTGTGGAATCCCTATTGTTTCGGAACATTTGAATTGCAAGCATTTTCTCAAAGGCCATTATACAAAACCGATTTGGATCCCGCTTAATCCCAAGCTTATTCTGAGATATTGATTCACCATTAATATACATAACGAGTACATTGGGTTTAAATTGCATATTTCCATTAGTAACTAGTTCTCTGTAATCTAAAGTCATAAGGACCTCCTCTCAGATTCAGCTATGAGTATACGAAAGCACACCTCTTCCGGAGTTAATAATATACACACGAACTCGCTGACGGCGAGCATTTGGCTCGATTCTTCCAACACTGTTTTGATGGAATGTACATACCCGACATGTGGAAACACGGGATGATTATTCCTATTCACAAGGGAGCTAGTCGTTCCAATCCAGCCAACTACCGGCCCATATTCTTCCTACCGGTTCTTTTGAAGGTCATGGAAGCTATTATTTCTGGTACGCAAACAGCCTACTTAAAAGAATCTAACTACCTCGCACCGGAACAGCACGGCTCCAGAAGAAATCGATCGTGCCCTACGAGTCTGCTACTAGCACTATCCAGCTGGACTGAAGCGGGCCACTCTGGCACATCAGTTGTTATGGTCCCTCGACTTCTCAAAGACGTTCAACCGGTTAGGCCATAAGATTCTGCTCTTCAAACGCCAGACTTTGGTATTGATGATTTTCTCCTAGGATGAAGCAGAAGCTTTCTTTTACATCGATGTCTGGAAGTATGTGCGCGTGAATCTCTGTCAGATCCCAGCCGATTTAAATGCGGAGTGCCACAACGATCGATAATAGGACTGCGAATATTGTTGACGTATATTAACGATACTACACGCCACATCAACCCGAACTGCCTTCTTTGTACCGATGACATCAAGGTGTGGCGCGCGATCAATACACCAGATGATATCACTGTACTTCAAGCTGATCTGGAGAAAGTATACGCATGGTCAAATCAGAATCTACTTAGATTCAATGTGGACAAATGTAGTGTGTTGCACCTACGGCACAAGTTGGTGCACTCTTACCAACTCGACAAGCATGAGCTTTAAACGTCTTCTGGCGATAAGGATCTGGGAGTTTGGAAGTTTTGATATTCGAAGCAAGCTGAAACAGCATTTAGGAGCGGCATCCAACATGTGGTCCTCCTGAAGCGTGCATTCGGACTATTCGACCCTTGGATTTTTCCACAACTTTCCGGCCCATACATACGTTCACATGTGGCATGCGCAATACATGTCTGGCAGCCATGGCTGAGCACAGATCTCACCGCCTTAGGGATTACCCAACGCCGGGCAATCAAGAGTCTCAAGGGTCTGTATAATTTGCCGTATGAACGAAGGCTACAATTGCTCGGGGTCTTCAGCAGACAGTATCGGCGATCACCCGGGACCTCATTTTGACTTAGCGGATTTCGAGAAATCCTAACCATAAGAGCCACTGCTAGCTAGAGCTCATTCCCAAGAGCAATTTGAGAGGTCAACAATTCAAACTGGCACAGCAGAACAGGCATTTGGGATGCTGTCGGAATTTCTTTTCTGGACGTCTTTGCCTTATTTGCAATGCCCTGACAGAATATGTCATATGTGCTCCCACCCTGGCAGAGATCAAAGCCCGAGTTGATCGTGCAGTGATTTCGCTGCACCATATTACACGACCCATTACCCATGGATAACTACAAGAGTCTGTAAGCGATTTCACGGGCGGTCAAATCCCAGATATCGTTCCACGTTTTCCCCTTCCTGGATGTGTACAACAGAAGACATAATTTTACCAACATCCCATTTGTCGTCATTTCTTATGGATTTAACTTGGATTTACCCTCTACGCTACGCATACTATGGTGAGTTCACTGGTATAAACCCAGTTTTGCTAGCAGTTTTTATATTTTGATGTTTCACCATAACCGTCATACGGGACCTGTTAGGCCTTGGCTTTTCTACCCGTACAAAAGCATCGTTCCATTGTCCCACTATGAGGCATTTGGGTGATCATTCCTCACTGCGTCAGCTATGGTGGTTAAAAAGTCATTGGTTCTAAGCCACAATTACACTGATGGCGGATGTAAGTTGACAGCTGCTTGATGGTAATCGATTGGAGCCAGAGCTGCTTATTATGAATATCCAAAAGGATGTGTTAAACGAACCGTTGCATTTTTTTATATATTTTCGAGTCATTTAACCTACTACCTTGTCATGAGTCAGATAGATTAGTGCGTTCCCCCGAAGCGTCTGAATTTAAACGTTAGTACGATGCTGAGCGTCATTTTGAAGTACACGTTGTGTGGATGGATTGCGTTGCGCAATCTCAATGTTGACCGTGATTCCCATTGAAGTAAACCTTGGTCTTGCGATCAGGAGTACCGTAGCTTATGCAAATAGAAAATGGGTGTTGCCCGCCCGAAAACACTGCAGTACTATGACGCGTTACTATGTTAATACATCTCATCAGATAGAGTTAGCAGGCATTGAACACGGGACCATTGGGATGTTAGTTGTGACCCCTAACCCTAAGCCACCGGGTCACGACAGGCAACGATTATCACCACGGACTAATGAACGATGTTGCAAGTCGTTTTTAATACGACATAGTTCCTAATGGTCCCAGGTTCGATGCCTCCTAACTCTATCTGATGAGATGTAATAACATCGAAATGCTCCATAGTAGAATGTTTTCTCGCGGGCAACACCTAATTTCCATTTGGATCAAACGTTAGTCATTTCTAGTAGGGCCCAGTAGAATCTGAGCATGACGTGCCACAAACCTTAAGTTAGGAATGAATACGCGATGCGAACATGCCAGGACTGCATCGCCGCGGCAGGCGATCCAAACTCATCCGTCCTGATTGGGGCGAACAGAGAGCCAACCAGGAGAAACGGCCAGTTAACGCAAGGACGGCGTTCCTTTATTGGCTGTAAGTTAACCTTTTCAGAGCTTTCAACGTTCTCTTTAAATACCATACAAGAACTTTCCATTTCAACCTTATAATGAACGGTGCGATGCGCTAATACATCCATGCTGCACTGCTCGTCCGTTGCGGTCTTCCCTCTGTCCTATGGGGGGCCAGCGCCTTCGGGTTTGATTGAGAATCCAACGTCAATTCAGGCGAGGGACGAACACTTCACCTTATTAACTGGACAACCCTTTTATATAAGTTTATGTGAGAGAGCTACTGTGAAATATTTTACTGCCACTTGTTGATCTGATGTAATGACAGACTGCTATGGCAACCGATAATGATCTGGACAAGGATTAATCTTGTCTAACCTGTAATACTACGGTGAAGCGCAAAATGTGTAGTACTTGTTACCAGAATCCCCTCATGAAAGCCAGCCTCGAATATCCATTCAGCATGACTATGGTTGTTCGAGACAGCCCGAGTGAGCTGACATTTTACCCCATGGTAGTAATTACTTTGGTAGTTCAATTTTCCACAAACATCTGACCTCTTCGTGAGGCAAGTTGTGGAAATGTCATTCTCGCCCGACCGCTACAGCTAAGGTACGAGCTTACCGCAATCAGTACTATGAAACGAATGGTAACAATGAATGCTGAGCTCTTGCTCCATGTCTCATAACGAGTTATTAAGAATGCTCTACGCGTACACAGCGCAGAGGACCGATGTTTTACCGTGCATTAGTACTTTAGCAAACGCAAGCAAGTCTGCTGCTCCTATGAAACCCAGAGTCAAAAGCAGCAGCAGCAGCTGGCCGACCGGCACACAGTACCGACGCTTCGCTGCCACGCGACTACCACCAATCACACGAGGGCTGGGTGTACCGTGAGATCGCTGGCACCTGTACGGAGTTTAACGGATGATCTCCGGAGTACAACGCAGATACTTAATCCTCTCGATCACCGGCCGACCGAAACCCGCAATATAAACCTGCAGAACCGCTTGCGGAATTTCAGCAAGCGATCTAATCCGATGGTAGGTTGTCGTAACTAACTTTCCTACGGTTTTGTCAGTAGTGGATCGCTTTTCTAGTTTACCTCCTTACAGCTCCAAGGACATCGGCCGTCGAAAACTGCCAGCAAGTGAAAGAAGCTATCCGCATACGTGTCACAGAAATTTATTCCACACTCAGATCTTTCCTGAAATAAGTATCTAGGGAGATTGTTTCACAATATTTTCGTACAAAGATTTGAAAAAACAACCTTGGAGAAGCTTATTGGCTGACAACCCACAAGGAGCGCTTTCACAACATTCATTTCGTCATTGAGCGCAAAATGCAGGACAGTGTATCACTGAACTTTGTTAGATCATTTTCCCCTTTTATCTATTGGAAGCACATCATTCAATCACCTGAAGTCATAGCTCATACTGGCGATTGGATTTAGAAGTGACATTGTTCGCATAATCTTGTCACAGTATAGGTTAACAGTGTCACTGTAATGTTTACGACGAGCACTTAATAGCTTCTCGATACAGGACCCATCTGGTTTATGCTTTCAACTTTTGCCATTAATCTGACGTAGTGTTCTTCAACCAGCATTTTCTACTTCTGTGTCGGTAGCAGGTTAATCCCTCTGTCCACGCGAATGGACGTGCACACTATCTTTTAATTCAGAAGCAATCTTCCACCCACACAGGTGCCAGAGCAGGGCTATGAAGAATTAGGAGAGTAGGAGCAGTGTAAACGTTTTCATTCTACTGACATGAGTCGAGATAAAATTTATTGCTCATCTCATTCGACATTGGACTAGTGTTATTTTACTCTGTCTCTCTCTATCTCACATGTTATAAATGGCAGATTACACATTTAGATGGCACTTTCAGACAAATGAATTAGAACTAAAGCAGAACGCAATGACCTACACAAGGTAAGCATCGTCAAGGCAATAAAACTTATGAAAGTGAACAGAAAGTGTAAACAAACAAAGGTTAGACTATCTTTTCGAAAAGAATATGTTTACCAATATGCAATTAAGCCCTTTCTCCTTGGCTCGTAGCCTCCGGATTTAGCTACCAAATGTGTAAAAAAATCGCTGGTCCTTTTTGTGGATTAGTGATATGTGACGAAATGAATTGTAACCTGCACATCAGTGATTGTGAGGCACTCACTCCAATCTTTCGACCACCTTCAATCAGTTGTTTTGCGCACTGATTCAGGCATTCTAAAGTGGTTTCATACAGCTCATCCGCATCCAATTCAAGCCACCCAGAAGCCGGATAGGTAGGTGTGACACGTACTTGGTGAGAGGCTATCACCTGGCCGTTGAATGTGGAGAAGATGCATACGCGTGAGCTGCTTGTTCCTTGATCGATTGCCGCGATCATGCAGTCCTCGATAGGTTGTGTGTGGACTTCATTCGAATCGGACATATTTGTTCCGTTAATTGACGGTCGTCGTGCGAACTTTTCTAGCAGTTTCTACTAGCAGTTTGTCAGGGGCCGCTTTTAAATGGAAATAAACTGGTTAAGAAATTAGGAAATAAAGAGATATTTGGCAATTGCCTCATTATTTGCAAAAATACTTGTGCCAGCCTGATGTACCTTTACTGTAAACCCAGAATTAAAAATCCCTCATTACTCAACTCACTCACAACAGTCTGAGGTTGGCTCACTGCAACTGTGCAGCGTGCCACGGGATTCAGTAGAGGGAAAGCACTTAATCCTCATTTTCATCAACGAGCTTGAAAAAGACACCAACTTCCTGCTTTTCAAGCATGGCGTGGAAATATGGCTAATAATTAATGATACTGAAGCTAGCAGTTTCCTCCAACTTAAATTGCCTTCAGGAATGGTTAACGTGTACCTAATCCAGTTGTGGACGGCTACAAATAAGGTGGTTTATATAAGTCATCCACTTGAGAACGAGTATAAAATTGACAATATCTTGCAGAAAGCCTCCCAGGAGTGTAAATTCAAAGTAATGATTCGAGGTGATATCGTTGCTCGAAACAAGCCCTAGAAGCGTTGAAAACTTACAGTCAATGTGTCGACCTTCTTCTTAAAGCGTTTAGTCTATTTAACCCATCAACATGTTCACGACTACGTAACGTATACGTGCGACCGTACGTAGAATATGACAGTCACGCAGCACAGAAAACGATCACACTGCTCTCAAAATTCTGTAACAAGGAGGCATCTAAGAGCTTCAGAGGTCTCTTTCAGTTAACCTAAGAAATATGTTGCAAGCACTTAGAAAGTGTACCTGCCGGTACTGGCGCCTTCAGGAAGGTCTCATAATGGCTTACCAAATCCTAAAGACCCCGAACTGCTTTTGTTATCCTTCCTGAGACTCAGCCTTAATAACAGTCTGGCTGGCCATCATCTAAACTTGACTAAGCACCATAGCCTGCTGGAATGTCTTCATAACTTCACCCTTCGAATACCAGCCTTGGAACCCCCCATTCTTACGTTATTTCTGCCCCCGAATTGAACGTGTTCAAAAGATCTGGACTACTAATTACGCCAGTTACATTTCTTTATATAGTTTGTGTTTGTCAGGAGGCTAGATACTACAAACAAACATGTGTTCTCTATTTCTAAACAAGTGAATTTATCATGAATAGCTCTCGGTGAGTTCAAAAGCATGCACTCAGCTTGACTTACCCGCACTTCGCTGCTTTCGTTCGCCTTATCTCGACCATCCTATGAGACTTGATAAGCATTTACCATTTACCCGTTATATACAGGTGTTCCATTATCAAGCTCCAACATTCAATTAAATCTTACTACTTGGTAATCTTTGAAACGTATGAACTCTACCGATAAGGAACGAGGCGCACGCGCACGCACGCGCACGTACACGCACACACACACACGCACACACACACACACACACACAACACTGATGAATATCGCAAGCTGTTGTAGGTGAATACAGCTAACTGTATGTGATCCAAATAATAGATGTAAGTGTTGTATACCGCCACTGAGCACATACGCTTAAAACGTCACCAATCAAGCAAACACGTGCATGTATTGGATGGAGAACAACAGAATCTACCCTGATTTTATACCTTATGCAGTTATTTATTAGTTATCCAAATAATAGATGTAAGTGTTGTACACCGCCACTGAGCACATACGCCTAAAACGTCATCAATCAAGCAAACACGTGCATGTATTGGATGGAGAACAACAGAATCTACCCTGATTTTATACCTTATGCAGTTAGTTAGTAGTGATGTTTTGGTTGATTGGTTTTTGATGGAGACAACTTAACTCAAGCTAACTAGTTAAGCGCTCGGCCACCTTCATTTTGCTAGTTTTTCCATCCAATGTACTAACCTACAGCTTCCCGAATGAAAAGTGCGATGAAAATCGCTGTATTTTGTTGGACTCATCACATCGTGTTACGAGTTTGATTCTTCTATAGTTTTTTGAAAGTACACCAACATCCTACGTTTAATGTACATTGGTCAACAAGAAGTTGCAAGTAAAAGACGATAAGATTTATTGGATACCATCTTCACACATTACGCTGGTAATATGATGAACTTGGCTGACACTCTTCGCCAAATCGAATATTTATAAAGGGGCATTATTAAATGTTTAATCCTGATAGCACCTATACAGGCCACTTAGGAGAAGCCGACAACCTATGTCGGCTTCAATGCCCAGCACAAAGTAGGTTTCCTGCTTCTTATAGTACCTCGTCGTAAAAGTACAAGTTATGCACCAACGTTTTTATCTTATATACTAATTACAGATGGCAGTCAGTAGTGTTTAGGTAGTCGACAGTAAGCGCTAGTAGACACCTGTATAAGCTCAGTGTCAATTCCCAGAAGTGCGATAGCTGACATTTACAAAGTAGCCGTTTGCTTAAGGCGTAATACAAAATTGTGGTACGTGTTCAGTTATGATGTTGCTTACTTCAGGGTGGGGTTAATTAGCCCAAACCTGTTGCAACTAGAGAGATTAGTGAACAAGCCGAGTGTGATTTGTAGGGATTACACCCACATTACTAACGCCTAATGGTTGATAAACGGTCCAAAACATCAGATTCTTGAGCTTTTTCTGATTGCGATGTACATCAAGATGACTCAGTTAATTACAGCTAGAATTACATCCAAACTATGCGGATATAAAATAGAATTTATGCATAACTAGAATGACGTTTATGTTCCTTCGCTTTGAGACGAACACTTGTTTGCTTATGGTCAGATGCAACGAGATTGGACCTCAACGCGGTGCAACAGTCTACGTACCTCGCTGACCCATTAAACTATACAGGATGAGCACAACGGTCCCTTGAGAGCTACTCCTACCAGGTGGGCCAATGGTCAGACGTACTCAGTCGCCTAGCCCTCCTGGTTAGGGGTCGGACATGGGATGGCGTCCATTTCTGTAAAACCGAATCCTTGCCACATCAGCTGACTTAGGAACAGGTTTTGAGGCAAAGATTTTGGTTGAGGACCATAATGCTTCTCCTGTCTAGGTCTGGGTGCCCTGACAGTATCTCAGCCCACGTACAACCATGACTACTTTCTTAAACCCCAACCACATCCTGCACCGGCCATCTGACAGCTTTTCAACGATCACCTTATCTACTGCATACAGCAGGGTGGATAAGAAAAAGGTACAACCGCTGATGCCCGCTTCCTTCTTTTCCATCGGTTTCACTTACTCCCATCCCACTCCCCATTACCCGCATTCCATCTTTACTTCCCTGCTTAATCGATAGCATCCGTAATGCCACTGCAGTTCTACATAAACTTCTGCTTTCCTACAAAAGGACTGATACAGTCATTCTTTCCAGAGACTTTAACTCACGGGTGGGTCGCCTTCCACCAAGCGAGCACTATGTTGAGGGTTGTTTTGTCCTCCGTGGCAGCCGATCAGACAATGAAGGCTGACTGCTTGATATTTGCTCTGATCATCTTTTGTTTCTTTCGAGCACTAATTTTCGGCACTCGAGGAGTCACACTGATACCTGGCGTGTGCCCTCCCAAACGCATGAGTGCCCCCAGCTTGACCACATAGCAATCAGCTACAGATGGCGCGGAAGCGTAACAGAATGCCGATCGTATTGGTTAACTTATCCAGATTCCGGTCGCGCATCGATTCGTGCTAACGTTTGCATGGGTTTCGGAGGGTCACCAAAGCGCGCTCACTACTGAGTGGACGTCACAAAGCTAAAATAACGCCATGCGCTTTTAACTGGATACCGGGCCTCCCTGTAAATTTTGCTTGGCTCAACTATTGACGGCGATCCAGATTTGCAGCGTTCGCAGATCAAATATGTCTTAGTTTCCGCCAGTACCAACATTGTGGAGTTGTCCTTCACCCACCGAAGCATTGGATTTCCCCCGTCTCCTTGTCGCGTGTATATAGGAAGAGTGCAGCTCACATTAACGAAGGTTTCCTAAAATCTAACCTATACACTTAAGTACTCAGAGCCTTGTGGGACGCTATATCTGGAACCACTGTGCCTAAGACGCATGAAGCTAGGGGTAACATTCCTATTTGACTTGGACCATAAGCGTGTGTTCCCACCAAATATAACTATTCATTTCAACCAAGTAGGCGGATGCGCAACTAGGAATACCAAGAACAAACTTCTGATGTTCAAAACGAAAAATAATGTTCGAAGCAAATTTCACAAAAACGATTGCCCTGAGATTTGGAACAGAATATCTGCTGAAAAAGAGCATGCGATAATCAACCAGTGTTTAAAGGTGCAGTTTCAAACTGCCTGATGAAGCAGCACCGGACAACGGGATTGCAACTAAATTGCAATGAAAAATGCTGCATGTGATGGGGGTCGAAAAGTATTGGTTACAAATATGCCTAAAATGTGCTACATACAGAGATTTTTGTGATCCAGCACTCAAGAAGGGGCGAGTTGAATAAAAAATAAAAAGTTTGATAGGACTTCTTCAGTTTTATTCGCCCGACCCTTTTTCCTTTTTCGTTTGGGAAAGCACACCTCACAGACACACCAAAATATTGTGGAATGCGGAGGAACGGCAAACTGAGATTCCCATTTTGGTTACCACTACCCATACTCTGTTTACTCATTCACATACAGCCATGCCATAAAGTGTGAGCTAAGAAGGAACCGCTGACTGAATCTATCCATCAAATTCACCTTCACCATTTGTTCTTCTCTTATTTGTCTATGCTTCCCTTGTCGCCCTCATGTAAACAAGTCAGGCAGGAAGATGAAGCCAACCGTTTCTGCTTCTTTTTCCAACTTTTTCATCCTTATTTCCAATATTGCGTTTTTATTTTTACTCGTACTCGCTTCCGTCTAGCGTACATTTATACCAAATACCTGAGCCAGTTGGCAAGCGCCAGCCATGTTTGCCTCACAGACAATAGAAAATGCTCCCATTCTAACTGTCTCGACTGAAATTAAAATGAGTAAATACTTTCGAGTTCACTACTCCTCTTTATGACACCACGATGTATGCCAAATGTTTAGCGTACATTAGATGCTATATTCAATAAGCATGATTGCAGCTTTAATGTTTCTCTTATCAATGCAAAGTGGCTGTTCATCTTTCACCCAAAAAAGAAAATTTACATCCTTGCGTACACAGAGCTCTCCTACAAGACTTAACGTATTATTCTCTGCTAATTCAAGTCCATGTACTGGACCAACATAAAGATTAAAACCCCGATGTTGACTTCTGCTCTACATTTGGAATATGCTGCAAATATCATAAGAAAATATGGTATAAGCGTGATCATGCCGAAAAGGGAATGTCTCCTAAAGCCCATGATATATATATATCATTGTTATATGAGGTTTTATTAAATCTGTACCATTAAATCTTACAAGTAACAATTGCTGAATAACACAGCTCCTACAAAAATCTAGAATTTTTACGATATGGGTTACGGCTTCTTAAAAGAGGTAATCCTAACCCATGTCATAAACTTTAAAACCTGCTTTAAGATGATGGTTCAACCGCGGAAGATAGTAGTCCAATTTGTGAATCATAAGTTTATACTACGCGGCCTCAAACTCGTATAAAGAATCTTCTGCTCACACGGACAACAAAGAAAATATGCTCACAAATCGGTGTAACCTTAATCGAGTTGGAGAACTTCATTGTCTCCGTAAAACTATCATTTCAACCAGAGTCCGATGTTATTCCCAATGATGTTATTAAGTCTAGCCGTAAAACATGTCCTTACTAAAGTTAAATCTATTCACATTCTAAGTAGTGGACAGTTCATGCCCCATTGGAAAAGAGCAAAGTACATATACGGCGTTCGAGATACTATGTCAAGGTATTACGCTATACATCTCACTCCTGCCCCTTTCCTTGTCTTGGAACAGATCAACAAAAATGATGTCGTATGCCTGACATAGTTAGACCTGGTAAACGGCATGCAACATTCTCTATATACAAAGCGCTCCAGCGCAACTTGTTAACTACAGTCCTTTTACTGCGTACCATCAATGGCTGGCAGAGAATTGACGGTTATCGTTTTCATAATAGACAAGCAAATCTGTTCGACTGCGTATCACACACATCCAATGCTCTCTGTCCTGCGGGCTAACAAAAGCAGCAAAGATTGAATATTAATATTTAGAAACCGTTAGAATTGTTGCTCTGCAAGAACAATTATTAGTGAAGGTATCCAAGGATGTGTACTTCCTGCGAGGCTTTGCATAGTCTGCATGAATAATAAGTGTGATCTCCTAAATCACGGAAAATTATTCTTAATAGCTGATAATATCAACCTTCTGTACTCATTCCACATGACCGCCTTGAACTGTG